GTAAATTTGAAAATAGTGCCAAATTTATACTACAGCAGACGCGGGTTGTTTGAGTATATCCAAAGCGTGGAAAGTATCATAAATACAATTCTGGGAAACAATAACCCGTGTGAAAAAATAGTAACTGCACAGTAAACACGATGGTTCTAACTTTTAGAACCGCAATATGAAATTTGGCACTAAAATCCATTTAAGTACCATTTGTACTAGAAAAAGTTCAAAATGTACTAAATCAAAAATCAAAGCTTCATGTATTTATTATAGAACTTTTGAACTTTTTCTAGAGCAAATGGTACTAAAACAAAGTTATGTGTCAAATCTCAACATTGCTAGAATCATTGTGTTTACTGTGTGAGCAGTCAGTTATCTAATTTCGGACAAAAATTACCTACTTTGATTGACATTTCAGTACAAAGTGTAGTGTAAGTCTATCATAGTTAACTGAAATCATTTGAAATTACAAATCAATCTAAGTTGCTTCATTTGGGACAAAGTGATTTTCTTAGAACAAAAACATCAATTCAATCAACTAGAGTCAACTGAAGTTATAGTCAGTCATTTTTTTTCACACGGGAATCGGTCAAAGGATCATATCTTATCAAACGAATGGTATAAAGTTTCAAGCCTGGAAAGAACTTTTGTTTGATAAGCACGCTATTCGAAATCGTTCTAGCATGCTTTCGACAATAGCTTAAGAAATCACACAACCACACTGAATACTTCAATCAAGTGGATTTTACTCTATATATGTATATCTGGAACGAAAAAGGGAGAATGTGACATTGCTTAGAGTTTCGTTCAAATCAAAGAAACATTGAATGCAATCTATTAAATTGGTAGAATTTCAAGAATCAGCGCACACAATACCATCTTGAAGAACAATGTGATGACTTTTTTTTATCTCGAAGAGTTGCAAGTGTGCATGATTTCAATTTTGCTTTTCAATCAGTTTGCTTATTCAATTATGTTCATTTTTGAAAGCTTTTGGAGCGTTCATTTTTCCCATCTACCCTCTTGTTTCGCTTTTGGTTTCTTCATTTGAATCTAGAGCTTAGGATGAGTATTGTTTACTATTTCAATGCGACAGCTGTAAAGGAAATACAATATTCAATCCATATGTAAACAGCGAAAGAAAATTACAAAGTATCTTGACGTTTGCAAATATTCCTGGTTAGACGGGATTGTTAAGAGTAACATCAGCAGGAAAATACGAAAATGTAATGGAGAAATATCAAATTAAACGAACAACTGATGTTTGAAAGCGCTAAGAACAAAAACATAATATTGCACCATTGAAAATGCTTGCGTCTTTATATATACTAACCAAGCACTGGTTCGGACATAGCAGAGCGTGTTTTGAGCTGACGTCAGCTGCTGAGCTCAGCTACTGACGAGTATGCGTTGCGTTTTTTTAACGCATTTGCAGTATAAAATTGATTGAACGATCCAATGTTATGATTGCTTACCCTTTCGTTTTTATAGACTGAAAATGCATTAAAACAACGCAACGCATACTCGTCAGCAGCTGAGCTCACCAGCTGACGTTAGTTAGTGCTGCTGACGTCAGCTCAAAACACGTTCTGGGACATAGCAATATGCAAAACATAAACGCGTGCGGATGACCGTGCGTCTATGTTTTGCATCACATATACAATATTTGACACTTTACGGATTCTGTACAACCAACACAGATACATTGTATACATTGTACTGAATCTGTATAACTTGTATCACTTGTGTCAGCGCATCTCAGATGTTTGATAGCTAAATTATACCGATTCAGTACAATGTATCTGTGTTGGTTGTACAGAATCCGTAAAGTGTCAAATATTGTATAGTTGCTGTAAGTGTATTTTGTGTGTGATATTTATACAGTATAAAGCCTCTGGGTAAACATATTTCTATGTCCGAACCAGTGCTTGATACTAACTCTACCTCCTGTCACGTCAGGACTTAAAATAAGCATTTTATTTGATTCTCATATTGCTGAAACTTACAGGGGCGTAAAAATGAAAGAAAGAAAGATAGTGATAGAAAAATTCCTTGATTCTAAAAGTGATTTGTGTTGTATCCCATTTATATGTTGTTGTAAAACAGTTCCAGGTTAAATCTTATCCGCTTAATTGTGACAGGCTTTGTTATGCGCTAAATCCATCACGCTGAATGAATTCATGCGATAGATTTATGCGATAAATGTGATGCGCTCGCTTTGCGGTGAACGAGCTCTGTTGCTCTTCACTATCGCTTAGCGATGCGTTCACTGCAAACGTTCATGCCACGATCCGACAGCCAAAACCAAAAACACATTGATTCTTATGGTCACTGAATGTACAGAATGTAACAAGAGCGAAACTAGTGAAAATATTCATGAACTAACATGTAATCACAAAGTTTCTATTTTAATTGCATTGAAAAACACAAGAACAACGCCTGAAAGTAGTCAAAATTGCAAGTTTCAATCATTTAAACATGAATAAACATGTAAAGCACGTACATATTTCTGTGACGTAAAAAGTCTCATGCTATCGGATCACGGTTCATGTGTGAACAAGTGAAGAGCTCGAATGTCTTCGACCAACTGTCAAACAAATCTATGAGTGAGATTGAGAGTGGTGTATATTTCTATGGTGTATGTGTCGCTCCGCTCCGTTCTGCATTTCTGATATTTCTTTGTTTTATATATTTACTAATTTGTTGTTCCACTTCTCAATGAAGCAGCGGACTTGTCGGCACACTCGTGGATTTAGCATTTCACTTGCTTTGGCGATTCGTGAGTTGCCGAAGCATCATATATGCAGTACACTCGATTTTTAACGTGAAAACCTATATTCGATACATCGAAGTTGGCCGAGGTATGATTTCGTTTGCGCGTAGCGCGTATGCGATTCACTTGCGATATATAGTATATAGGGATTCACGTTATATCGCAAGTGAATTGCTTACGCGCTACGCACAAACGAAATCATACCTCGGCCAACTTCGATGTACCGAATATAGGTTTTCACGTTAAATATCGAGTGTACTGCATATATGATGCTTCGGCAACTCACGAATCGCCAAAGCAAGTGAAATGCTGAATCCACGAGTGTGTCGACAAGTCCGCTGCTTCATTGAGTTTCCACAACAAATTATTTTTTCGCGCACTAGATGAGATGTGTCTATCGAAATAAGTTTGTAGTAATCACGATCCGACAGTAAAAATCAAAAATACATTGATTCTTATGGACACTGAATGTACAGAATGTGACAAGAGCGAAACAAGTGAAAATATTCATGGACTAACCAGGGGTTATTTACCAAATCTAGTTCATATTTATTTGCACTAAGTTGCTCTTTTTATCGCTAGTTTGAACTGATTTTATGCTAGTTCGCTAGTTCGCTAGTTCGCTAGTTCGCTACTGATTTTATGCTAGTTAACTAGTTCTCTGGTTCGACTGTGTTGTATTTCTTGCATACATCTCTTACGAGTAAGAAGATTCGCACAAAGCGGACAAGAAAAACAACAACAATAATATTGAAATAAAAGGCTCTAGTTTCTGCTAGCTATTGCAATTTTGATGCTAGTTTGCTAGTTCTAGTTAGCGTAAATAACCCCTTGTGGACTAACATGCAATCACAAAGTTTCTATCTTAATTGCATTGAAAAACACAAGAACAACGCCTGAAAGTAGTCAAAATTGCAGGTTTCAATTATTTAAACATGAATGAACATGTAAAGCACATACACATTTCTGTGACGTAAAAAGTCTCATGCTATCGGATGGTGGCAGTAATATATCACATTAAAATGTACCCCTTTCAATAACACTGTAGTACTAATAAAAAAATATATATTTGCAAGTAATAATAAAAAAACAGATTTTTTTTCCTCAGTTAGCTTAAAAATTTCTTATAAAAAAATAACCAGACCAGTAGCCCACATTGTATGTAGTGCTAATACAATACAGCGGGTAGATTGAAATAAACACGGTTGATACCCCGATATCTATCACACCAATACCTAATATTGTGTAAAAACCCCGGACATTTTGAAAAACAGACATTAAATTAATACTTTATTGGTGAATTCTCAATCCATCGTTTCGCATTTTTCGGTCACGTTTTGAAATTTCACCATTTTGGGATTGATTCGTCCATATTACGCTCTGTGGCAGGTGTGGAAAAAGACAAACACAAATTTAGACCCAAAATTGACTGGTGATATATAATACATATTTTGAACTATGAAGACATACATTCGACACACACATTTTTAAATATAATTGACAAGTTATATTCAACACAGTGAAGCGCAATGGTAATATATTCAGCAAATTCAAAACCGTTCAGAGTTCAGTTTGCATTGCTTTTGTCCCTATCGGAAGATCACTGACTTGAATTGAGGCTGTGAGAATGAAAATGGCAATACAGGAATAAACATTCTGAAACGCATCAAGAAAAAAAATTCGCAAAAATGAATCATGAGTTCTGAATATGCAAAAGTGAAACATGAATTTACTTGGGCAGCATAGGAGGTTCATGGTTCACTTTTGCGTATTCAGAACTCATGATTCACTTTTGCGAATTTTTTTTCTTGATGCGTTTCAGAATGTTTATTCCTGTATTGCCATTTTCATTCTCACAGCCTCAATTATGAATGACGTTTAAAATGTCATTTCTCAAAAATGCCATTTCCAACATTTGGGTAAACCTTATGACGAAAGCATCTACTTACACTTCCAAATTATACCGTATAGATGCCGTTATTGCTGAATATTTTCCATTTACAGCGCACTTTGTTGGTTATATTGTATTTGTCATAATGACAATGTCATTTTGCAATTTTTTCGTAAGATTTGTACGTTATGAATGGCGCTGTGATGTAACGAAGATATAGGAACCTCGTTTACACTAAAATTTTCATACATATTTAATATGGCAAAAATATAAAAATTAAAAAGATTCGCTTATTGTTGTTGTTGTTTCATTTGAAATAATGCTTCATTGGGACTATGCTCGAAGTGTTTGCCAAGGTGTGAAGGATGTGGATTTCTTGATCGTTGTTTTAATTGTCCACGACGTGCACAGGATCGTGATTGTGGTTGTCAATTCGCATTGCTTCATCGAGTTGAGAATGAAGCGAGCTAGCATATCGAGGACGGTACCTCACCATATCCAGGTATTCGTCGTCAAAGTAGTCGTAGATATCGCCAACAGCCATCGATTATTGAACAACACGAACAAGACGATGAACAGCCTAATGAATGTGTGGGGAACCAAGAGCGCGAAAGCGACCAAGTACACGACGAGCAAGCACAAGAACAAGAACATGAAGATGATGATTCCTTTGAACTTACAGTAAGTTTTTTTGCCCACTCATATTGAGAGAGCAAAAATTACAGAAAAAACTATCAATCGACTGAATGAAAGCAAACAAAACATCCAACTGCACCCAAAATGCACTCAACATTGCTTCTACTTTTCATGTTCATTCCAAATATAAGAAACGAAAAGTGTCATGTTTTAATCCATCATAAGCGTAATATCTGTAAAGCACAATTCAAATCGATACTCATCAACTCAATTTTGAAAACATATATTAACATTTGCTTTCGTACAAATTGCACCGATATCATTTCAAGCTATATTTCTCACTTCTCACTGACATGTATCAATTTTACTGACACGCATTTGTTCAAATATACATCGGTTTTAAAAGCGATTCGGTATCTCATCATCATTATTTAGAGCTTTCATTACAATCATAATAAATACACATACACGGCATATACATTATACATGTATTAGGTGTACTAATTGTATGAAATTTTTTGTTGAAATATTTTCATCAACTACGCAATGTCCCTGTTTCAGGTGAATGGCAGGAAACATACAAACACATAGTCCGTGTGGAAATTGTTTTACTGAGTAGCTAGTCTACTACTTTGGGATAAATTGGCTGGCCATTGACTGTCAAAAATTGATTGCCTCGATTAAAATCAACAACTGTAGTCTTAACTTTATTTATAATTCACTGTTACTCCTTTCCAGTCAAAATGTCCTAAAATAGACGACTGGCTGAAAGAATAACTAAACGTGATTAGCTCCATACAAAATAGTTGATTTCAAACCAGTACCACTACATATAACTGAGTGACTGTTATTCATTTTATTTTCACACGGGATACAGGGCTATTTATACTACCGCGTTACTACTCCTTATTTTGTTTTTAAAATACGTGATACACACAGGGAAAAATGGTTGAGATTTTTGGTACAATGGATTTTTTTGTCGTAAGAATACAGTTAGACCCTCAGAAATTAGAACATTCAGAAATTAGAATCCCTCCGAAATTGGAAGAAGCATTTTGAAAGCATTGCGGCCTCTGAAATTAGAAGATTATCTTCTAATTTCCGAGTACTATTTTCTTTATGAGATTTATTTATTCACAGCGTTGTAGCTGTTGAGTAGTTTAATACACAAACGAAATATTTGGCATGAAACCAAGTATGATTTGCAATTTTTTGATGCTCTTGCAAAAAGTGCGTGCATGCATGTGTGGTCAAATGTTTAGAGGTTCGACCCAATAAATTTTTTTGACTTCAATAAAGATGTCATCGAATAATAAAAAAATCAAGATGATAACATTTTGAATTGAACAAAAATTATAAGCACTGCAAATTCTCCACCAATTTGGTGCTGACACAAAGAAAATATGACATTAATATAACATTTAACTCCATCTAAAACTCTTTCCAGTAGTTGTGTTTAAGTGAGTAACATTACCTAGACTGAATATAGCGGTTTCAACTACTTTCGGGCGAAATTATCTCAAACGGCTATTGTTGATGTACGGACAAATTCACTAATCCGCAGACATGCAATGGCTACTGGATGACAAATGAACCCGTGAGCACAAAAACGACTTATTAAACAATCGCCGAACAAAACGATACAAGAAAGAACTACCAAACAAAACACACGTTAAAACGTAACACAGCAGGACGGTACCGTTCAAAACGAAACTCCGCTGTGCTACACATTACCGCTGTGGTACGTTTTGTTCGGTAATTTTTTTTTTGTATCGTTTTGTTCGGCGATTGTTTAATAAGTCGTTTTTATGCTCACGGGTTCAAATCTACAACACACTCGAGTGCGTGTATTTGCGCGCACAATAACAGTGGCCGTTTGAGCGTCGCATAACAAATAACTCATTGCAGTTTACTTTTGAGATAATTTTGCCCAAAAGTAGTTGAAACCGCAATATTCAGTCTAGGTAATATTACTCACTAAAACACAACTACTGGAAAGAGTTCTAGATGGAGTTAAATGTTCAAACCTAATCCAATGTATTGAAACTCCATATACATGCTCGGAGTATGGATGCCAACAGTGGAATGCTTCGTATACTGATACATGTATTTGGTTGGAACTTGGTTGACGGAAGCGCCATCTAAAGAACCGATGGCGAATTCGTGATGTCTGTATGTTATACTTCAGGATGACGTTTGACAGAACGGAGAGTTTACTTGATTGTATTGTCGTTAGCCTTAGATTATCTAGGTGGTGTTTGCGCTCAATATCAGTTGTCAAATTCAAAGTGGATAGGAGAGTTGATGGATGCTGATGTTCGGGCAAATCTGTCTGCAGTGTCATTGTCAAGTACCTATCATGAAGCAGAAGAAAAAAAAACACTTTCAAGCGAATCAATAACATTGTTTATTCATCCCAACCTGTGCTTTTCTGCCCTAGGGGGATTTCTCACGAAAAAAATGAATGAATTCTTATAAATTTTGAAAAATTTCTTCAATTCGGTCCGATTCGATCAATTTTTGTCAATTCGTGTAAATAAAGGTACATTTACACTGAACTTTTGAATTATGCTTCAATGAAATTGTTCTGGAAGTGGGTTTTGGTGGATCTCAAGGATCGTTCAGAACTGCTCCCGGTTCTGGAAGTGGATCTTCAGGATGGACCAGGGCGATGTCAAACCGGATCTGGTCCATCCTGAGGATCCACCAAAACCCACTTCCAGAATCGGGAGCAGTTCTGAATGATCCTAAGGATCCTCCAAAACCCACTTCCAGAACACTTTTATTCAAGCAAAATCGTCATTTCAGTACGTTTTCATACAATTTCAATAAAAAAGAAGAAATAATAGAAATTTTTGCACATTTGCTCAAACTTTTTGTGTGAGAAATCCCCCTCTCTGCCATAAGAACCAATGTATTTGACGTGACAGTGAGTAGCGGTGGCGCCTAAATAGAGTCTGCGGCAAGTTTAGAAACTATCAATACTTCTACAAACTAATGTTGTTGCGAAATTCATGACAACAATAACAACAAGTATTGATAGTTCTTAAAAATGCCGCAAATTGCTGATACATCTTATTTAGGCGCCACCGCTATCTTGCGCCGGCCAAAAGTATAGGTTGATTCATCCATTCTGTGCAAAAAAGGCTGTGATGGCGCAGATTCACAATGCAAACGAAAGCGGATTGTTTTATCGATGGTCAACAATTCCTTGAATTTTTCTAGGGGAATATCACGTTTAGATCATTTCAAATATTCCAAAAAAATCCGATACATCTCTAAGAATCTTTCATATGAAATTTGGTGGATATTTGTGAATAAGGCAGAATAAGGTGGATATTTGCGAATATGAATGACATTTAAGCCGAGACAACGTCCGCCATCTTGGACAATGCAAGAATCTCAAATATCTCCAAAAATCCACACAAATCTTGATTATTTATTCGAAATATTCGAAAATATTTCATATAATTGAAGTTTATTCCAAATATCTCAACATATCGCCACTATTCTGGAGCGTGATAATCCCCTAGGAATTTTTTGAATTATTTTTGAAGAAAAGTTTTCATTAAGACCAAGCAAATGTTTGAATATTGTTTCTAACTGGTTGTTTGACACTTTTAACCTTCTGACTGTGTTTGGTGACATTTTTGTCGCTTTCATTATAAAAAGTGAAAAAAATAACTTTTCATGAAATTCCAGCCTTTCTGATCATGAAAATAGTAAACAATACAGCGGCACCTGGGAACTAAGTGCAATGTGTCATACTTTCAACGTTTGAACTAACACAGACGCACTTACACAGACACATACTTGTTACAGCAAACTATGTGCATGATTCTCTATTTCTCCAACCAGTCACCAGGTGCCGCTTTATTGTTCTTGTTTGACGATTCCTATCTATTTGTACAGACGATCAGAGAGGCTGTGAAATTCTTTATCTGAAACTTCAGGAATGCTCCTTTCGACCATTAAAATCGATTATATAAAACAAAAAATTTCTTTAAAAAATTCAATTTTCCATGTAAAATTAAATTCTGCACCGTTATACCCCTTTGACTGTGTTTGATGACAGAAATGTCACATGTGTTTTCTAATCAATATAATTATTACTGCATGTGATTTTTTTTCTGTATTTTACACTTGTACTTTAACTTTGAAGTCTTCTCAACTCAAAAAGCAAAAAGTTGAAAGAGAATTCCTGTATTTTCGGGTTTTTCTGACACATGCAAATACATCTCGATGACGAGTAGAAAAATCATCAAATCAGCAGCCTATTTCACCAAATGTTTTCATGAAAAGTTTTCATGAGATTTTCTTCTCAAGTTTTTTTGGTGAAACTAATGTATCTAAATGTAGCAATGAGAAAATCTCAATACAAACGTGAAAATATTCTCATTTTTTGACATTATTTCGAGCACAAATTTGAAATTTTCATTTATTTTTGAGCCAACCATGATGTGATCTCACATTTTTGTGAAAAAATCTCAAAATTTCAAGTTGGCGCTCAAAATAACGTCAATAAAATGAGAATATTTTCACGTTTTTATTGAGATTTTCTCATTGCTACATTTAGATTTATTTGTTTGACCAAAAAAACTTGAGAAGAAAATCTCATGAAAACTTTTCATGAAAACATTTGGTGAAATAGGCTACAGAATTCAGTTGACTGTCAAACGCAGCCAATGGTTCAAGAATAGATTGCAGTGTTATTTGATATAAATAAAGGCATAAATAATGAAGATAATATTGTATTCAATCGAATATCATCCCAAGAGAAACGGCCAATATGTTTATACGCTGTCTATCCGCCAAAAATACACTACAATATATATTCACGCTTATTGGACGCCGAATTCAATATATATTCTAGTGTATTTTCGGCGTATTCTTCAGCGTGAAACATATTGAA